ATAAGCCGAGGCGGCTTTTTTCAGCCCAAAAAGTGGGCTGAAAAACTAGGCTTATACTCGAGTATATACAGTATATATCAGTATAGTGTCTGTTTAAATTTGACTTACCTTGGCTTGGTCTTTTTAAAGTCTTGGAGAAGCTCCATTTAACTGGGTTTTGTTAAAGCATGGCTTAGACGCATTCTGATTAATCTGTTGTCAATGTATTGTATATGTAATTACATAGTACAGCATGACTCTTACAGCTGCAAAATGCTCTAAAAATAAAAAAGCAGGTGGGGCAGCTAGCTATGCCTAAAGGCCTGCCAAGAGAGTAATAGAAGAAATTGCATCGGGTAGTCTATAAGGAGGCATTGCATTTATTTTGCAAGGCAGATTCAGTAAGCTGTTGACCCAAATGGCAATATTGATCAATTGCAAAAGAAGGAAACGTGACCTTTTCTTCCGAAAGGCAAAGTTGGAAGCAGGACAACAAAACTCAAATCTGTCAACTTTGACAAGTTGCCTTTAGTAAACCTGGAAACTAATATTCATTCAGCAGATCATTCCAGTTTGGAAGGATCTAATTTTTCACATTAGCCGTACTAGTTTGGGGAACTTATAATTCGACTTTTCATTCTTCAGAAAGACCTGTCGTATGGATGAGATGGAGAGGGTGAGGATTGGGGTCATATACTGCTTTGGTACAAAAGCCAACTATTGAATGCAAAGAACCAATGAGCAGATGACAAAGAATGGTTTTTCTTAAACAGTGCCCTCCGAATCAGTGTTTCTCAACCTTGCTGGCTGGGGAATTCTTGAAGTGGAAGTGCGCACATCTTCAAATTGCCAATGTTGAGAAACACTGCTCCAGATGTTCTGGTTCTGCTCTTCCCAGAATCCACTGTATACATGAAGAATGCTGGAATGGGATAGCTGGAATCCGAGCAATAATCTACCCTTTGTCCTCAACATTTAAGTCACTCAGATCAGAGGTGGCATTCAGCCAGTTTGGACCGGTTCACCGAACCAGTTGTGGAAATCGTGGCTCTATGCCATCCTATTTAGGCACGTTTTCAAGCCGTGCACATGCGTGCAAGCCGTGGGTCCGATTAAAGTGCATGCGCGGAAGACTGAGGACGTGCGTGGACGGGATGCACTCACATTTGTGAATCGGTATGGAAAGTAAGTGAATACCACCCCTGACTCAGATGTTCACCCTCCAATTTCTACCTAATCCATGTGGGAATATTACATACACAAGGGACTTGGAGATGGGCTATGCATACTTAACTAGTGCTAAGAGGGGAATAAAGATGCAACATTTTATCCTGGTCATAGGCGTTATTTGGTTGGAGCTCTGCTTGTGGCTGAAAAGGAGGAACTGCAGGAAGAATGTTCCTGTCACCAAGGCAGTAAGAACAACACTTGTGACCATGGCTACTGGACTGCTTGGGGTGTGGCCTTTGCTTGATCAAAAGTGATCCACTCAGGTTTCTGAAGCATGGAAGGCTGGTGTCTTTTCCTAAGATTTAAACCTGGGGTTAATTATATGCCCGACAACAGGGTTGATTCCTGAAAGGAAGACACTGGTTCCTGGACAAAAGATAAAGGTAAGATGTGGTCCTAGGTAAACCACATATTGTATTATAAAACCCAAATCTAGTATTGCTTCAATCCTTCAAATGTAGCAATACAGGTAGTCCTCGGTTTACAACAATTGAGCCCCAAATTTCTGTGGCTAAGTGAGACCATTGTTAAGTGAGTTTGGGGCCATTTTACAACTTTTCTTGCCACCATTGTTGAGTGAATCACACTATAATTAAGTTAGTAACCCAAAATTGTCAGGTGAATCTGCCTTCCCCATTGATTTCACCACATCAGTGGCTTGATAATGTATGACAACCTCATGTCAGCCGTTATTTTTTCTTTCTTTCTTTCTTCAGCAGGTAATATGTAAATAATCCTGATTTCCTTTAGAGGGCTACTATAAGTGTAGCTATGACAAATGTTAAGGGATGTGGTGGCTCAGTGGCAATGTTTGGTAGTGACTGCCAGAACCACCTGGCATGATAAACAGACTGTGTGGAGAGACTGGGGAGGGATAGGAGGGGCCAGCCGGTCCTTGAAACAATCGGTTTGGCAAACCAGATGCAAAATTAGCATCAGGTTTGCCCAAATCAGTGCGAACCGGCTGAATCCCACCACTGGTGTTTGGCACAAAAATTTGGGGCTGATATGAATGCCTGGCTGCTGAGCTACCTCAGACTTTTATCAGTGGAAGTATATTCAACATCCTTTTTAAGGATGTATTTCATGTCTAAACCAATTTGCTCTAATTATCAGCTGTTGTCCTTAAGAATCCTTAGAATTTCTGGTCCTGAATCAAACTGCGTTATGTAAAATTTCTGCAGGAGGAAGCATATGTGTGTGTGTGTGTGTGTGTGTTGTATTTGTGCTGATAAATAAATAAAAGGAGACTA